TCAGGAGAAGGATGTAGTATTCCTTGAGACAGTAATGGGGTTGGCACAGCAGCGGTGCCATTGTTTGGTAGAGTGCATTCCTGTGCCCCAAGAAATTGCAAAGCAGGCACCTGTTTACTTCAAGAAGGTAAAGCCATCTCATTTTTACTCTCTCGTATATAATTTTTCCTGATCGTTATCACCTGAATTTTAATTTTTAAAGCAAATACCTCTTAATGCATGTTTGGGAAGTGAATTTTAATCTAAGTTGGTCAAACGACAAACACACTTATCCGTAGGGGGCACAACTATTACTTATTATCCACACATTCCGTAGGACCCATAATTTATAATCGCTTAAGTTTTAAATATAATCACTTCCCCATACATGCTCTTAAACTTTTACTACCATCTTTACACCATATACCATTGAATTTAATGTAGATTCATAATATATGACAGTGAGAAGGATCCACATTAGGCTTCTTTTTCGAATTTACCATATATAGCACTTTCTGTATTTGTATGTTTTTTTAACCATTGTCCAAAATCTGCCCTGATGAGTACCCTTTGCTTAAAAAATTGATTATGATCAAAGTATGAAGGGTAACTGTGGAATTGCTAACTTGTACAAAGAACTTGAAACTGGAAATAAGTTCAAATAATTCGTGATAATTTTATTTTTTGCTTTTGCTTTCTGGGTACGCCAACTTGTTAGTTTCTAACATGTTACTGCAGGCAATCGATGAAGCTGAAGATGAATGGAGTCAACACAACGCAAAGAAGCTCATTGATACAAGTGAAAAGGGTCTGCGAGGTTCGATCCCCAAGAATTTCCCGTATTTCCATGTTGAATTTGGATTGCAAAGGGGGTTTGTTCATGTAATTGACGACGAGAAAGAATTTAAGAGCAGCTTTGGGCTCAATGTAATAAGAGGTATGCTACGTCTGCCAGCCGAGGACATGCATCGCCGTCGGAAGCATGAATCCGTGGAAACGCAGAAGCAAGCTGCCACAAGTTTTGCTCGGGATTGGGAACCTTTTGACTGGACAAAACAACTGGACTAGAACTAGGAATGATACCTCGTATTCAGGGTGGTTGAGACTCCCACTGGTAAGCTTAAAATGAAAGACATCTCTTGGCATGTACTTCTGGAAGATGTATCATGCTGATGGTGTAAAAATTAAAACTCGTACTTGTGAATTCAGGCTTGTGCTTGTTCATGATACTAGTGCCCACGTGATGTAAAAATTAAAACTTGACTAATAAATTGAATATTTAAAACTCCAAATGATTCTTATGGATTCATATTTGGAAGTGAAGAGTTTGAAAAGTTTTTTACCTTTCCAAATTATAAATTAAATTTTATTTTTTTGGACTTAATTTGATGTAAATCTAAATTTTATTCCATATCTGTATTATTTATTTATGTTCAACTATGTCCTAACAAGCATACAGTTTAGCATACTTTCCAAGCATAGTTTTGAAACTCGGACAGGACACCAACCCGACGAGACAACGGGTCAGTGGTTCAATCGGCGGGTCAATACCTGTCAAATGTACTATTAATTATTCACTGAATAATAAAATTGTCATTTTCTACCAATATCTAAATTAGCTCTTGTTTGGGCTACATTCTTATTCTCATTTTTCTATTTATTTTTAACCACATTCTTTAATAAAATAATATTTTTTTATCACATCAATAATCTATCATTCTTTTTCAACAACACATTTTTCATCATATCACTATTTAAAATACATTATTTTTCCAATAATCTCCATCAAACCCACCCGTAACTTTATATTATTTTGTTAACTAAAGATCAACTTGTATCCCAAATTCCACAAATTCTAGATCATATGTGGTGAAATATGCATTTGAAACTATAAAAACAATAATCAATCATACAAAATTACTTTGTCTGACAATGTTCAACAAGATAACTCATATACCATAAGAATATGGTTGCACCAATAAAACCATCATTTAAAATCATTCATAGATAAAGAACATGTTAACAAAGTAAATCATTTGAAATAAATTAATAGTTTTTCAATTTAGAAGAGCTAGAACGCATCCATACTGGGGTCTCGGACATAAAGTCTTCAATTCCTTCGCCTTGTACCAATGATGGAGTCTCAATCATACTAAAATCCTTGTTTCCATTATTTATATAACTTCTTTTTACATCGCCATCGCCATCGCCATCGCCATCATTTCCATCACAATCAAGATCAAGATCGTCAAAATGTAATTCATCTGAAAAAAGTTTTAGAATTCAACATTACATCATATATACTTAGTCTCATCATCTGAAAAAAGTTTTAGAATTCAACATATGCTTGCCTAAATAGTCTCATTTCA